ATCTGCCTGCCTCTGCCTCCCGAGTGCTGGGTTTAAAGGCATGTGCCACCCACCCGGCAACCTGGATTTTTTTTTTTAAGTTGAAACTAAGTCACTTTTAAAAATTTTAATTTTTTTGAGAATTTCATATATGAGTTTCATACATTAGAGCTGATCACATCGGAGACATGTAGTTTAAAAATAAGGTACATAGTAAAGGCAGACTTTCACTTCTGTCAGAATCAGTACTCTGGACTTTGATTTACCCTTATCTTCTGTGTTTTTCTCTCACCCCCCAAGTTCCAGTCATGACGAGCACCAACATAACTAATCATGTCACACAGGATAGGCACAATGGTTTCAAAGCGACAAACCACAACCACCAAGTATGCCACTCCTAAAACTTAAGTCTTAGTATGTGAAGTTCGTTTCATCCCTTCAATGTATCTCGCTAATACATGCATTGAATTAATGTGTTAAAGTCGCCTGGATGCTCTCTCCAGGACATTATGCCACCGATGGAATACACAGGTGGGTTCAATGTTTTTGTTGTTGCTGTTTTGTTTGTTTTATGAGACAGGGTCTTCCTGTAGCCCCAGCTGGCCTGGAACTCACTATGTAGACCAGGCTGGCCTTGAACTCACAGAGATCTGCCTGCCTCTGCCTCCCCAGTGCTGGGATTAAAGGAATGCACCAGTATGCCTAGCTGGGTTCAATGTTTTAGTTTGGATTTTTCAGTGACAGCTTTTCAAGAATTTTTTCCAGCACTTAACACTGCTGTACAACTGTGTTTCTATGGTCCCAAAGCTAATCTACCAGAAAGATTTCAGAGGTGTGGTTCTGCAGCTGTCCCGTCTACCCTTTCCTATTTCTGTTTACTGTTCTCTGTCTCTCTGTGTTTGGACGCAGAGTTTCACTAAGTAGCCTGGATTGGCATAGATCTTGCTATCTAGCTCAGGCTGGCCTCAAATTCATAATCCTGCTGCTTCTGCCTTCCAAGAGCTGGGATAAGACACCAGACCTGGCAGTTTTCTTTTGTAAATGTTAGCCAAAATATAATTTGTATTGCAATTTTTTTTTGTCTGTTTGTTTTGAGATAGGGTCTTTCTGTAGCCTCAGCTGGCCTGGAACTCCATATGTAGACCAGGCTGGCCTCAATCTCACAGAGATCTGCCTGCCTCTGCCTTCTGGGTACTGGGATTAAGGTGTACACCACCATGCCCGGCTCTCATTCTTTTCTTAATTGGTGGTGTACCATACAATCTCCTCTCTCCCTTTCTTCACTTCCACTATATCCTGGAGACTACTATAGTATGTACATAAAGACTCCATGATCCCTCTTCACAGGTGCATAAAAATACATTGTAGTGGTATACTTGCTTTTCTTTTAAAAAATACATTTGGAGCTTACGGTGGATAGGACTTTGTTTCTTTTCATTAAGCATGAAGCATTTCTCCTGTTAAGTGTTTTTGTGTCTGTGTCCTACTTACAGTCCTGTGCTTGCACATGAAAGCACAGAATTTTAAACCCCCTGATGTGTCCTCACGGGTTTGTCCTGGCCGGTGGACCTAACCCTCTTCTGCCAGACTTCTGAGCTGAGTGCTATAGCCATGCCCATTACTGTTGTGTTCTCTATTAAGTTTCCTGCCATCTCCAGAGGAAAAAAGGAGACTTTATGTCTGTGTAATATGCATGTTCCTCTCGAGATCCTCCCTCTGCCTCTGAATAATCTGATATAAAGGACTCAAAGTCCTGACATGTCATAAAGAAGTTAAAAACATCTATGAATGAAGACTCAAGATTTACTAGCTGAGGCTCAAAACAGCTTATTACTTGTCTTTTTAAAATTAAACTTTTAGCCGGGCTTGGTCATACGTGCCTTTAATCCCAGCACTTGGGAGGCAGAGGCAAGCAGATCTCTGTGAGTTCAAGGCCAGCCATAGCAAATCTCTATAGCAAATCCAGGCTGGCTGTGACTACTGGGAGACCGTCTCAAAAAGACCATAATTACAATTTTAATTAATTATTAATTATAATTTTAAAGTTATAATTACTGGCACATCGTAATAGTAATTAATAGTAAATAATGTCACGGTGATATTGCCACACATACATATATCATGCACTGGTCATCCATACCTCCCTTCTTCTAATCCTCCCTCCTCTCCCCCTCCCCCACCCCTAGTAGTTCCTCTCTACATTGGGGTCCTCACCCCCACCCTGCATATGACAGAAAACATGCGCTGCGTGTCTGTCGGTGTCTGCCTTACTGCACTTCACATGTCCTCCAGTTCCATGCGTGCTGCTCAAAGGACAGGCCCTCACTCACGTCTGTAGCCTCGGTGAACATGCACCACACTGGGTCCAGTCACCTGCCTAGGGCTGATTCCACGTCCTGGCTTCCGGCTCCCCTCCTCATCTGTCACCAGGGCGGTACTTACTGCTGGGTCACAGCTTCTAGTTTCCGTTTTGGGAGGAAACTCCACACTGCCTCTCACAGAGGCTCAACTAATCCAGACCCGCAGTTCCTGTCTCCCGCACCCTCACCCACAGTCCTCCTTGCTGACAGCCATCCCAAGTGGAGTGAGATGAAACCCATCTGCAGTTTGGACTTGATTTTCTTCATGACTAAAGCTACTCAACCGTTTTCATGCTTTTTTGGTATTTATAGTTCGTCTTTTGAAAGGTATTCAGAACTTTTGCCCATTTTTGATTGGATTGTATATGTCTTATCTAGCTTTCCTAACTTATCAATTGGGCAATTTGGAAATCCAGAGGGTAGGAAGATAGCAAGACTGCAAAACTAAATATTAAAAAAATTCTTGGGCCAGGTGTGGTGGCGCACACCTTTAATCCCAGCGCTTGGGAGGCAGAGGCAGGCGGATCTCTCTAAATTCAAGGCCAGCCTGCTCTACATAGTGAGTTCCAGGGCAGCTGGGGTTACAGGGAGACCCTGTCTCAAAAAGCCCAAAAAAAAAAAAAATTCTTGGAGCTATCTGGTGATGTTGCCCTGTACAGTACTTACCCAGCATGCCTGAGGTGTCAATGCCTAGCAATGAAAAATGTCACATTTTGAGGCTGGAGAGATGGCTCAGCAGTTAAAAGCACTGGCTGCTCTTGCTGAGGACGATCAAGATCCAATTCCCAGCACCCATGGCAGCTAACAACTGTCCGTGACTCCAGTCCCAGGGGAGTTGACATCTACTTCTGACCTCCTCAGGCACTGCAGGACACAGATACACTTACACATATGCAGGCAATATACTTATACACATAAAATAAAAACAAATATTAAAAAAAATCTTATTTTGAAGGTATGTACTTTAAAAGACAGCTGTGTAAATGTATTTGCAAGTTATTATTACTTCAAAAACCTTAAAAACTTCTTTTTACATTTCTGCTTGTGTGCATGCACGTCACAATGTGCACATGGAAATCAGAGAACAACTTGCTGGAATCAGTTCTGACCTTCCACCACTGAACCCAGGTCTTCAGTTTGGATGCCAGCACCTTTGCCTACTGAGCTTTCTTGATGGCCCCATTATTATTATTAATTTTATTTTTTATGTATATGAGTGTATTGCCTGCATGTATTGCCTGCACCTGTGTCATGCAAGGGCCACAAAGGTCAGAAGAGGGTGTCAGATCCCCTGGAACTGGAGTTATGGATGGTTGTTAGCCACCGTGAGGGTGCTGGGAACCAAACCCCAGTCCTCTGCAAGAACAGCTAGTATTCTTTTTTATTTTTTAAATTTTATTATTTTTGTTTTATGTGTATGCGTGTATTGCCTGCATATAGCTCAGTACACTCGTGTTGTGCAAGGCCCGCGGAGGTCAGAAGAGGCTGTCGGATCCCCTGGGACTGGAGTTACGGACAGTTGTTAGCTGCCATATGAGTGCTGGGATTCGAACTTGGGTCTTCTGCAAGAACAACCAATGTTCCTAACCGCTGAGCCATCTCTCCAGCCCAAACAGCTAGTATTCTTAACCGCTGAGCCATGTCTCCAGCCCTGTCCCCATTATTATTATCATCATTATTATTATTGCTACTACTATTATTTTATTTGAGACAGGGTGTCACTATGTAGCCCCAGCTAGCCTGGAACTTGCTATGTAGACAAGTCTGCCTCAAACTCACAGATATTCACCTGCCTCTGCCTTCCTGAGGGCTGCCTATTTTTTGAGACAGCATTTCATAGAACCCAGACGGGCCTCAGTAGGCAAGGACAGCTTTGACCCCCTGATCCTCCTGTGTCCACCTCTGGAGTGCTGGGATTACCACCATGCCTGACTCTGAAGGTGAAAACTACTTGTTTTGCAAGTGTTAGGTAAAGGGAGACTGCACAGAACCCCTGACTGGTCATGAACCCTCACTCCTGCCCATGGGCCTTATCAGAGCATTGTTAGCCTGTTTCTAAACTCTGGCCCAGAATACACCATGTCCAGCCATAAAGCATTCCTGCCCTGAAGACAGGTCCATCTGCCCTTACCAGGCCCCAGGCTCTTCACAGACACCACCCCCATACACTTAAAAACTCTCCTGTGTAGTTGCTGCACCAGTTCCCGCTGGTCAGGCTCCTACCTGTCATCGACTAGTTAAGATCAATGGGATTGTCTGGTGGGCTGCTTCGTTTCCCTCCCTGTGCCTTTTTCCACCCCTGTTCCTAACATTCGGGCTGGAACTTAGGGCCTCATGCACAATGTGCAAATGCCTTACCACTGAGTCATACCCCAAGTCACAAGTGAGACTTAACTCTGAATATCACCAATTTTAATTTTTTAATTTAAAAATCGATTTTGAGGTACTTAAAATGTTATCAGAATATATTAATATTTAATGTCAGAATAAAAAAGAAAACAGTCCTATGAATAGAGCTTCAGTTTTTCTAATCAGTGTGTAGTCACCACACTGCTAACGGCAGATGCGCTATCTGCTCGGGATTGTTGGGAAGAAGCAATGGGACACCGCAGGCACCGGCAGCTCTGAAGCCGCACGGCTGCTTTTCCTTTTGGGAAATACCTTAAGCTTCTGCTGCAGCTGTTTCACCTCCCCCTGCAGCGTCTTCGTAGCTGTCTGCGCTGCTAACGTCTTGCGATTTTCTTTGGCCAGCTGTCGACCAAAGGATCGATTGTTCAACCTCAGTTGCTTTTCCAAGTTCTGAAAACAGGATATATTTCAGCTACTCTGGAGTCCACGTGGCATTCTAAAAACTCTAATTGCAATAGAATGGGCCACATTTGTGAGAAGTGCAAAATGTCAACACTTTAGTCAGCAGCTTACACTGGGGATAGACATTAGAACTCTATGTAATGCAAAACAGTAACATGAAAACAGGCAGAAAGTCCCAATGCTCAGGGGCGGAGAAAAATGCCATATTCTTTCCAGCCCAATGTCCCAATGCTCTCTACACACCCTGGAAATTGATTTAAAAACGTGAACACATCCTGAAAAATCAGTAAGTACAGTCAGTGGTACACTTAACACTGTGCCTCAATGAGTGGCTGCTGTCTTCCAGAGGGTAAACCTTTTGGGCCCCTCTCCCTAGTAGGTCCGGCCCCAGTGCAGACCACAGTGGACAGGGATTCCCAAAGAACAGAGACTCATGCCGCCTCTCTACACTGGCAAACTGTAGACAACAAGAAAACCAACGTGGCCTGACGAGCATCCATACCGCTCACCTATTCGTTGGAGTGACCATGCTACTGGAGAACTATTTGATCTGAACTTTGAAAGAAGGGTTAGCTGCAAGGACTTTCCTTTCCCTCGAAACGCAGCCTTCCTCATTATCACATTAACAGTTTCCCACTAACGTGAAAACAGTAAGTTAAATGAATGAAATCATCTTTGAAAATCAAGAAAAAGGGACTGGAGAGATGGCTCAGTGGTTAAGAGCACTGGCTGCTCTTGCAGAGGACCTGGGTTTGAGTCCCAGCACTCACATGGCAGCTGGGAATCCAATGTCCTCTTCTGACCTCCATGAGAATTGCATGACACAGGTATACTTACATAGATGCAGGCAGTACACTCATACACATAAAATAAAAATAAAAAATAGAAAAAAACATTGTTTTGACCCACAAAACATTCCTCACCACTAAATGCTCTTCAATCAAACGGAAATTTCCTTCACTAGCAGTGTTTCTGAGCTGACAAAACAGTGGGTTAGTTCTGGAGGTCATATTGTTTTTGTCTATGAGTATGAAATCATGAGCTGTTTTGCCATTTCTCCAGACAATCTGATGATGAGATGAAGTCCATCCATCTTTGTCTGACATGCAGAAGTATTGCTATGCTCTGACTGGCGTCCAAAGCGAAAGCAGCTGCTCTTTCTTATCCATGCCTCATCTGGCCACTTTATGGGAGACAACTGCCTCTGAAAGCAGCCGCTCTTCTACTAGAAGTAACAGATGAAACTGAGGATGAAATGATCTGATATTTGTCAGTCACCATCAAAGAATTAGTGACTTAACTCCGTTTGTCTTTATGTCCATGGAGACTGAAACAATTGCCATGTGGAATAGGCAGGAGGTCTGTGATCAGTGCCCGCTCCCCTACTGTCCCTTTACAGCGACGGCCCTTGGCTTTTGACAACCCTTCAAAGTAGAAGAAACCAACCTATCCATCTCTTCAGTTATTTTAATTCCTTTCCCCTCCCCTCCCTTCCCCTCCCCTCCCCTCCCCTCCCCTTCTTCCCTTTCTTTTTCTTTTTCTTTTTTGTGTTTTTGAGACAGGGTCTCCCTATAGACACAGCTGGCCTGGAACTTGCCATGTAGACTAGGCTGGCCTCGATGTTACCACCTGTCTCTGCCTCTTTAGAGTTGGAATTAAAGGCATGTGCCACCATGCCTGGCTCCAAAATAATTTTTAAGTTATGGAAAGTAATGGGTTTCATTAGCACATTTTCATACAAATAATTCTATCTTGTTCTAATTTGTCTCCTGTCCTCCCTATATTTCACACTTTCAGGTGCGTGCACAGGTGTGAACGGCCCACTCCCCCAGTAAATTGCAGCCCTGGAACACAATGTTGGTTCAGGACCAGGGACAGCATTCTCCTCCCCTCCCCTCCCCTCCCCTTCCCTTCTTTCCTTCCCCCTTTCCTGAGGCACCTTGGGAAACATTTCTGAGAAAACTAAGAGTGCATGTGTGGTAAAGGTCTATGAGACTGAGAATACAAGCAGGGGGTGGGCAGAGGCTTTTCCAGGCAAGGGGAAGCAGCTCTGAGTGGAAGTCAGGGTGCTGATTGCAAAGGGAGGGTCCTCCACCACACAGCAGGCCTTCACTGAGCCCTCCCTGACTCCACGGTCTGCCTGGCTAGAGAGAATACTTGCTCATGGAAGAGAGCAGGCATCCAGCTGAGCCTTCTACTTCTTAACCCCTGCCTGCCTTCCCCACTCTCCACTAGAGACATAATTACTCTCTGAGGTGAGCTGGTTATTTGGAGGCTCCCAGAGCTGAGCAATGTGACTGACTGCACCCTCTCTAACAGTACTGGACCCTTACGATTTTGAGGTCTCTGAGACACAGACCTGTATTTTTTTGTTGTTTGTCTCCATTTTGGCCATAACAACAGTCAATCTGTGAGTCAGTTCTTCCCTTTCTGCAAGATTTTTGTCTTCAGAAAGTTTCTGTAGGGCCTGTAGGGCATCCTTGGTCCTCAGTAACTCACTGTCCATATCGCGGAGTTTCCGAGACACAGTTTGCTCCTTCTCCTGGGATTTCCTAAGGAGCTGCCTTAAGTTTTTCACCTCATTCTGGTGTTTAATTGTGATTTGAGGGAGATTATTTTGTGAGTTCACATATTTGCCTATAGCTTTCAAGTGCCAAAACTGAAGTTGTTCCAAAAATTGGTTTTCTATGACAATGGCTTCCAGTTTCCGATGGATGTCAGCTAATTCATTCTTCAGCTCTTTAATTTTATGAAGCCGGGCTGAGAGTATTCGGTGTGTCATGGTGTCTCTTCTTTTGTCAATCGTACGGATTTGAGAATTGAGAAATGATGAATTCCATGTGTGGGTTTTCTCAACTGGGATGTCCTTCAGGCCTGTGTAAGCAGACAACTGGGGTTATACAGAGACCTGCAAATAGGCATACATGTGGGCCCCATTGCCACACACACACACACACACACACACACACACACACACACGTGCGCGTGCCTTTGAAACTGAAGAACAAAGCAGCATTTAGGGAATGCCAATACTGCAGCTGGGTACACCACATGTACACGTCTCCCTGACACACTTCATCATATCCAGCTGGGTACACACATGTACACGTCTCCCTGACACACTTCGTCATATCCAGCTGGGTACACCGCATGTACACGTCTCCCTGACACACTTCGTCATATCCAGCTGGGTACACCGCATGTACACGTCTCCCTGACACACTTCGTCATATCCAGCTGGGTACACACATGTACACGTCTCCCTGACACACTTCGTCATATCCAGCTGCATCTATTTTATGCCTAGAGATTTAAGCCACCCAAGGCTATGTAGCCATAAAGTGACATAAATGTTAGCGTCCATGGACTGAAAACCAAGTCTTTCTGAAGTCTAAAACCTGTATTCAAATTAGTTACTATAAAAGCTATACTGAAAACCCTGCCTAGTGTGATGACAGCTGTAATCCCAGCACTGGGGAGGTACAGGTAGAAGGATCAAGGAATTCAAAGCCAGCCACGCTGTGGCTGTATATAGCAAGTTCAACCCAGCCTGGGCTATAGGAGACACTGTTTGAAAAAAGGAAAAAACCCAAAACAAGTTATATCAAAACCATGGTAATTGGATAACTGACATTTACTAAGTGCTTATTGTATAAAGATTATTCCTTCATATGTGTGTGGTATGTAAGCATGTGCGTATATATTCCCGTGTGTGTGTGTGTGTGTGTGTGTGTGTGTGTGTGTGTCTGTGTAGGCCAATAGTTAATGTTGGATGTCTTCCTCAGTCACTCTCCACCCAATATATCAAGGCAGGGCCTCCTACTGAAGCGAGAGCTCACTATTCTAGCTGCCCAGCTTGTTCTAGAATTCCATCCCTGCCTTGAGTGCTCTGGGATGACAGGGGAACCACCATGCCTACTAGACTTTTTTTTTTTTTTTTTTTTTGGGGGTCTTTTTGAAACAGGGGTTCCCTGTAGCCCCAGCTGTCCTGGAACACACTATGTAGACCAGGGTGGCCTTGAACTCACAGAGATCGCCTGCCTCTGCCTCCCAAGTGCTGGGATTAAAGGCATGGGCTACCATGCTTGTCTCCCACCTGGCTTTTAAAAAAATATTTTATTTTTTTTAAATTTTATGTGTGTGTGTGTTTTGCCTGCATGTAGGTTAAGTACACCATGTCTTGCAATGCCCGAGGAGGACAGAAGAGGCTGTCAGATCCCCTGGAACTGGAGTTACAGACAGTTGTTAGCTGCCATGTGGGTGCTGAGATTTGAACCTGGGTCTTCTGCAAGAACAGTGAGTGTTCTTAACTGCTGAGCTATCTCTCCAGACGCCCCCCCCCCCGACTTAGCTTTTTATGTGGGTTCTTCGGATCTAAACTCTGGGTACTCATGCTTCCACAGCAAGTACTTTACCTGCTGAGCATCTCTCTAGCCTCCCTAATGTAATTCTTTCAACAATATGAGGTAATTAGAGCCCAATCTTAAACTCAAGTAACCCTTAAAATCCACCTAACCACAGGGCTGGAGAGATGGCTCAGCAGTTAAGAGCACTTGCCTGCTCTTGTAGAGGACCCAGGTTCGATTCCCAGCACCCACGTGGTGGCTAATGACCATCTGTAACTCCAGTTCCAGGGGATGCTGTTTTTTGGTGTCCAAGGATATTGCATACTTGTGGTGCACTTATACACATGCAGGTAATACATTCATACACACAAAAATAATAAAAAAATCCCACCAACAGTGTATATGTTCTATTTTTTAAAAATATTATTACTCTTATGTGCATGAATGTATTGCCTGCATGTATGTGAGTGCACCCGTGTCATGCAATGCCATGGAGGTCAGAAGAGGGCTTCGGATTCCCCTGGAACTGGAGTTAAGGACGGTTCGTAGCCACCATGTGGGTGCTGGGAATTGAAGCCCAGTCCTCTGCAAGAGCAGTCAGTGCTCTTAACCGCTGAGCCGTGTCTCCAGCCCTATCTCATTTATTTTTTTAAATTTTTATTTTTGTTTTGAGACAGGATCTCATTACATATCCCTGCTGACCTGGAAATGGCTATATAGACCAGGTTGGCCATGAATTTACATAGATTCATCTGCCTCTGTCTCCCCAGTACTAGGGTTAAAGCATGTGCCACCATACCCAGCCCATCACTGAGCTATTATCTCATTAAAAACTTATTATTATTATTTATGTGAGTGTTTTGACTGCATGTTAAGTGCACCTGGGTGTGCAATGCCCATGGAGGCCAGAAGAGGGTGTCGGATTCCCTGGAACTGGAGTTATGGATGGTTGTTAGCTGCCATATGGGTGCTGGCATTCAAACCCAGGTCCTCTGGAAGAGCAGCCAGTGCTCTTAACTGCTGAGCCAGCTCTCAGTTATCTCATTTTGAAGACAAACACCCTAATGTGTAGGGATGTCACTTGTTAATGAGCACACACTGTTTATGTGTCTATGCTATGACACCAGGGCTGTATACAACTGCATGACACATGTGTATATATATGTACATCTCTGTATATAAATATATCTGTGTGAATGTATAAATATTGCTATGTCTATATTCTAAGAAAGGGAGATTGAAACAGGATTCAGTAATCTGAAAAATCTCTTTCTTATTCTTGGGAGTGAAGAGAATAGGGTAATGCCACCGAAGCCCTAACCTTAAGCTACTGGCCCGCATGTGGACACATATCTGAGACATGGCTTACCATGTCTGATCTACAGTCCTGTCTACATGTCTGGTCTACAACAGTCCTGAGCACATCATGGCGGTAGCTGACAGGCGCTCTCTGTAGTAGCTGCAGTCAAGGTACTTAGTTCCCCACCAGGAACAACAGCTGTCTAGGGCTATGGCTGAGTATTTGCAGCACAGTGGAGGGCGGGCAGCAGAAGAGGCCAGCCTTGGGAACACATATGGAAAGCTGCCAAAGGCTTTTCTGTGGATGGGCTGGGGCCAGATGTGTTTGTTCGTAGTTTGAACACTGGCCAGGGAGACCCTGGACCCAGGGAGACTGGAGTAAAACAAAGGTGGACAGGCCAGCTCTATGCCATGGCCAGCACGACTAGATTTGACCCCCAACTTGGAATATGTTCCAGCTCTTGCTCTCTCCTCCCTTGGTCACTGCCCCTTTGATCTCACTATCCTGCTCCTTCCCGTCCCCCAGCCTCACCCTGCTTCTTTGCGTGCCGAGCCATGGCTGCATTTCACTGCATTTCCCGTTACAGAAGATGGACCATTTCCACCAAGCACCAGGGGAGGCAGCTGTTCAAGGAAAGGTTGCTCCTCTGTTCTCAGGACTCAGTCTCTTAGAGAAGGAATCACACACACCCCACCTTAGCCTTCCCACTTCTGCCTGGCCCAGCACAGCAGGGCAGAAGGCATCACCATTGAGCTTGGTAGAATTTCTCTTAGATATACCAGTGATTTGAATGACAATCACATTTTGGCATTGTCTTGACAAAAAAAAAAAATAGGTATCAAAGGAAGTAAGCTTTCTATTTACAGGATCTATAGTGGAAAAATTACTGAAGGTAACTTTTGCTAGGAAAGAAACATGTTTGAGAAGCAAACAGTAGAAACACAGGGATTTAATTAATCTCTGGTGTCTGACCAAAGCAAAAATCCTATTAAATTGAAGTTCTCAATTTATCCTCATAATTTTTTGTGGAATGCTTTTCTGCCATGAAATGTGCTTTCATTCATTTTCTAACATGGGGAGTGCAATTAATCCGTGAATTCAGAGCCTGTACTGGGGATGCTGATCCAGTGTTACCATCTATCCCTTGAGGGCCAGAGCTCTATTTTTAATGTGTCGGAAAGCTCAATGGAAGCTGAACGTTTGCAGAAGGGCTGACTACTACTAGAACACTGAGCCTGTTTGGGTTGGAATTATGTCACTCTAGGGTGGACAAATTCTTCTTATCTTACTTCATCTGGGCAAACACTTGCAAAACATGAGCTGTTCGGGAACAGAGTGAAAGAGAGTGCCCCTCAGACCCCTCCCTGGCCTCTGAGAAAAGCTGCCCTCCACCTGACTCTGGAAATCCCCTCCATTGTTCAAACCCTTTCCTGATACACCTGTTTATGGTTTCTATGGAAATGGTCCGGGGTAGAAGAGGAAGAACGTTCTGCCCCAGGTAAGCTAGCCAATGGCTGTATAGGTTAAGGCTCTGGAAATCAGCCCTAGATTGTTCAAATCCTTTCCTGGTTCTTCTGTTTATGGTTTCTATAGAAATCCCCTGCTTTGTGGTTTTTGCAGTTTTTGTGCTTAAAAGCCCTGCATTTTCACAGCTTGAGGTCGCAGTACAGCTCTTGAGACTGTCTGTGTCCCCAGCTGGTTGGCTCCAATAAAGCACTTGTGTTTTTACTGAGACTCAGTGTCCGAGTGGTCAATTCAGGGAATTCTTCGGATCCTGAACAAAAGAATAAAAACAACCAAGGAACTACCTGGTTATTCTGAGCTCAAAGTTGTAATTATTGTTTCCAGTCCATCTTACTGAGCACGTGGACCCAGTGGCATATAAAATGTGAGTTAAAGATACACTCAAGATTTTACACATAAGGTTGATTTAAAATAATTTCAGGGGCTGGAGAGATGGCTCAGTGGTTAAGAACACTGACTGTTCTTGCAGAAGACCCTGGTTCGAATCCTAGCACCCACATACCAGCTAACAACTGTCTGTAACTCCAGTTCCAGTGGATCTAACAGCTTCTTCTGTCTTCTTCAGTCATTATAGGACATGGATGCCCTTACCTACATGTAGGCAATATACGCATACACATAAAATAAAAATAATAAATAAAATGAAAATAATTAATTTCAGGGATACCCTCTGCCCTTCAAGATGGTGGACACAGGGCCTCTAGGCTCCGTGAGCTGCTGGAGTCAGGGTGCTCTGCACTGATGAGTGGGGCTCTCACCTAAAGGACTCAGTGGGCAGTGATGGGAACAAGTGAGGAACCAACAAGCTAAGCTGTGAGGAGCTTAAAGCTCACAAGGGATTTCTGTGGTTTGTCCCTTGTGTGCATGGCTTCGGAAATGCTCACTGCCTATTAGCCTTAGGGCAGCGTAGGACTGATGTAAATACTGCATGCACATCTATGACTCTTACCATAACTCCCTGGGCCGAACTACCTCTGAATTCTGTTCTCATTTTTATTTTTAGTCTTTTTGAGACAGGGTCTCCCTATATCCCCAACTGGCCTGGAACTCACTTTGTAGATCAGGCTGGCCTTGAACTCACAGAGTCACCTACCTCTGTCTCCCAAGTGCTGGGATTAAAGGCGTGCCTGTTTTTATTTTTTTTAAATTTTGTCTTTGAGATGGTTTCTCTATGTTGTTCAGGCTGGCCTCAAGCTCTTGGGCTCAAGCAATTCTCTTGCCTCAGTTTCTTTTTTTGTTGTTGAGACAGGGCCTCCCTGTTGACTTGGAACTTGCCATAGACTAGGCTGGCCTCAATCTCACAGCAGAGATTTGCCTGCCTCTGCCTCTGGAGTGCTGGGATTAAAGGCAGGCACTACCACACCCATCTTTTTTTAAAAAGATTTTTCTTAATGTGTATGAGTGTTTTGCCTGCATGCAAGTGCACCAAGTGTGTGCAGTGCTTGCTGAGGCAGAAAGAGGGCATTGGATCCCCTGGAGCTGGAGTCATGTGGGTGCTGGAAACCAAACCCAGGTCTCTGCAACAGCAGTAAGAGCTTTTAACCACTGAGCCATGTCTCCTGCCCTTGCCTCAGTCTCTTGAGTAGCTGGGACCACAGGTGCATACTACCAAAACTTGAGTTTTGTTTTATAGATACATGTGCAATGTGTTCCACAGTTCTCCTAGTAGGATCTGAGATAGCACCCTTTAATCAAATAATGCTTCCCCCACCACACAAATACATTTTGGTTCCAGTGGCTGCGTTTTCAGGGATTTGTAAATTTCAAATGCCTAGCCAGAACATCATTTCATTGTGATCATCTTTTACAAATGTTTACAGGCTCACCAGAGTCTTACCACAGACAAGTGGGTTCCCCTTTTCCTGTTCCACCTGGGGCCCTGATGCTGAGGCCCATTCCCACTGCTCTTGAAAGGGGTCTTTAAAATCTTTCGACAATTTGGTGAAAGAAAGCTATGGATCTTCCCCCTTGAAAAGCTCAGAAACACACACAGACTAAAAATGCATAAAATCTCATGCGGCTCACACATGTGTGTCTTGGAAGAATGAGCCCCATCCTGTGGGAAGGGCAGAGAGCTGAAGCGGTCTGATGTGGCACAGAGGGTGCTGGACACACCTGTGATGGTCTGCTGGGGAAGACTGTGGCAAACATGACTGAGGAGGAAGACGTCCATGCACAGCAGGCTCTCGGTCAACTCTTCTAACTGCTGGCTCGGGTACTGATGGTCTCAGTGGAAAAGAGGACCAGCTATTCCTGCCTAAGGAATATTTACTGGCTCCTGACCAACTACAATAAGAAAAAGTAATTCCGGTCTGGGCAGTGGGGAAAGGGGGCAGAAGATGGACATTCCAAGGCTGATTCCAACTCCAACACGAGGGATGGAATCGGTACTTTTAAAACCCATAAGGAAATGACATCATTCATAGGCTTTGAGGCCATTTTGGTTTCAAACAATCATCTTTGCCACAGTGCCTCACCAGACTTGGAGACTGTCTTCTTGGGGCGTTAAGACAAGACACTGACATTTCATTGGCAGTTCACACCTTGATTCTTCAGCTGAGACCGAAGGCAAAAAACTAGTGAAACCCCAGTCCCAGTGCAGGCTGTAAGGAGGCTCCCAGCTCCTCCCCCCATAACTAGAATCAGAACCTGCCTTGCTAGCAGGCTCAGGGAGAGCAAGCTCAGCTAGGACTAGGCTTTCCAGCTTAGGGTTGATCTTTTTTTTTTTCAATTAAAAAAAATTTTTATTTGATGTGTATGAGTGTATTGCCTGCATGTATGTGAGTGCATCTGTGTCATGCAATGCGGCAGAGGTCAGAAGAGGGGTTCGGGTTCTCCTGGAACTGGAGTTAAGGATAGTTTGTAGCCGCCATGTGGGTGCTGGGAATCGAACCCAGGTCCTCTGCAAGAGCAGTCAGTGCTTTTAACTGCTGAGCCCACTCTCAGGCCCCAGGGTTGTTCTTCTGTAATTAACTTTAATCTCTCCATTTCCTGATTCTGTCTATAAGGTTTCACCTGTATATGACTACATAGGAACAAAGACCTTGTGCTGGAGAGCTTGGTTGTCAACTTGACACACCTGGGCAGAGGGACCCTTAAGTTGGGAATTTCATCTATCAGACTGACCTGTGGCCATGTCAGTGAGACATTTTCTTGGTTGTTGAGTGATATGGGAGGGCCCAGCCCACCGTGGGTGGTACCACCCCAGGCATGTGGTCCTGGGTTATATCAGAAAGCAAGCTATGCACAGGCCAGGGGATAAGCCAGTAAGCAGTGTTCCTCCATGGTCTGTGCTTCAGCTCCTGCCTCCAGGTTCCTGCCTCTGCTTCCTTCCATAATGGATTGTGTGATCTGTAGGTCAAAAAACCCCTTTCTTTCCTAAGGAGGAGGCACTGAAGCACTAGAAGCAAACTAGGACACACCTGTAAGGGAATGTGGGCCACTTCAAAGTACTAGCGCAGTAAACACTGATGTCATCACAGCCAGGGGTCCTCGGTGGGAAGTCAGGCTTCTTACCTTTAGGCTGGGGGATTTTATAAGTGGTATACTTTTTCTTCTTTTCTTTTATCGAATTCTGCTCTGAGTAATACTGGTTACTGACAGTGATGGCTGGTTCGGAGCATTCGGAGAGAAAGTCTTCAGAATAGTCACACTGAGAGGCTAAGCTTCCGTAGGAGCACTGAGACGTGCTGTAATCCACACTCCCGCTGGAAGTCCTGCTGTTCCTGGACAAACGGCCAGCATCTGGGTCACTCCTGCCTTCCGCAGACTTCCCGTTGCTCCCTGACGCCAGGCTGGGGAAATGCCCATCTGTGTGTGCTTTTGTTGTGTCAGCCAAAGACATAGTAAGCAACCTAACAAAAGAAAAGTCTGTTTCAGCTTACAGCTGTTGACACTAAAACCCACCTGTGCTTTACCATATTTTCTTTACTCCAATGGACAGTTAGGAATGTGAATCAATGCATTAATAAGCATCTTCTGAAGTGTTTCAGTTTGGTTTTTATATTATTTCCTCGTGAAACAGAAGTCCCGAGACCAGACTTTGGTACTATTCACAGGTAAACTTGTGGAGGTCAGAGGACAACTTGTGGAGTCAGTTCTCTCCTTCCAATGTGTGGGTTCTGGGGATGGAACCCTGGTCATCAAGTGTGGAGTCAAGCATCTCTGTTTGCAGAGCCCTGCTGTTTGTTCTGAACATCATCATTACATGATCAGTTTATACAGAATACGTATGTCTCAGTGCCTGCCTATACTGAGCCAGCACAGCACTCACATGAGGTAACCAAGGGAAACGGCAGCTGCATCCTGGTAGCCATGTTTCCTGACGGTCAAATGCCCCTTGTGAGTAAACATCCAGGAAACTGCAGTCACGCAGTTCCACTACATCAGGGTCTGCATCCTTAAAAGATCTAATCACTGCAGCGTCATGGGCATGAGGGCACATGGCACACATTCTCGTTCAGAATACCCCTTGCACTGTGTATTTGACATGCTCTTCTTCTTTGGGACTATGGGAAAAAATACCCTAAAAAGGAGATCTGGCCCACCATGGTCTGGGACAGAAAAATGTCACCTCACTGCGTGAATATGCCATCCACCTCACACATATTCATAAAACCTCTTTAAAAGTCCACAACCAGAACCCAGCGGACTTGCTCCCACTTGGGGCAGTGCACCCCAGGCTCTCTGGGATCTTTGTTCTCAGCCTTGCTACATAAACTTCTCTCAAAGTGTCCATGTCTCCTGACTGATTTTTTTTTCCTTCGAAGAGACAAGAACCCCTGTAACACTTTAAGCCATGCCAAAAGTAAACTTCTATAAATAATGGATCCGAGTCAAGCCTGGTGGTGCAGACCAAAAATCCCAGCCAGTCCTGTGGTTGAGGCAGCAGAATCACAACTTCAAGGTCTGAGTCATACAGTGAATTCCAAGCCAGCCTGAGACCCTGTCTCAAAATAAAAAGTAAAAAGAGGGTTGAGGATACAGCTCAGTGGTAGAACACTTGCTTAGCATACCTGAGGCCCTAAGTTCATACTCTAGCACTGGGGAGAAACGGGTCTGGAAAAGATAAAAATGAAGTTTTTGGCTGATAATTGCACATTTAACCTTTAATATGGAAATTTTAAATCTTATTTGGAATCTAAATGACAGTAAAATAAATTTCAAAAAACTATACTTAGCAGCTAAAAATGAAAGCAAAATTCTTCGCGGGAACGGCGCTAGAGGCTTCCAGCCGGAAGCTGGGACCGAAGGGTTCAGACTGACTTGGCACTACACGTCTTTAGTTCAGGGTAGGTTTAAACTCAGCAGCTCTTCATGGGGATTAGGAGTGCTTTGTCCAGTGACTCACGCACAGAGGGGCGAGAATGCAGCTTCATGGCTCCAAGCAGCCCACACAGCGGCTTGGCTTTGTCCGGAGGGTCTCAGCACTCAGCGGAAACACAGATTTTACTTCTATTTTCTTTAGAAGTTGTTTTGGGTATTTGGCTTAGTCAGTGGTTTTAAGGTAGTGTTGAAGAGTATGATCTGTGTGCCAGCATGGCTAGGTGATGGCGTCTTTCCTGTTTGACACACCCACTCGCCCACACGCACTTCACCTGGACTCTGCTTTTTGACCTGAGGACTGACTGCCCTCTGGGGACTGACCGAGGGTCTTTAAACACATTCCCTAAGAACCCAGTGTTTCTAGCTTGTCAAGAGTCAGGGCTATACTATCTGTCTTGTTTTTGAGACAAGGTCTCCTTACGTAGCCCAGGTTGGTCTCAAACACGTGATCCTCCTGCCTCAGCTTCCCGGGACAGTGCTCCTATGACAGGCATGCCACCATGCCCAGCTAGGGCAGTACTGTTTGTCAGGAGCTGTTGAGCAACCTCGGAGGTAGACTCATTGTCCTTCAGACAGAAAACTTGTGGGTTCTCTTGGCATATGCAACAAAGACACCGACTACTTATACTCTCGGCTGTCTGCAGTGAGGATTTAAAATGGATGGAATAGGAAGTCACACAAAAGGGCCTGAGATACATACACTCAACACAGTGAACTTGGATGGAAAGCAGGGTTCTGCACTTATTTATTTATTTAATTTTTGTCTTTTTGAGACAGGGTCTCCCTGTAGCCCCAGCTGGCCTGGAGCTTGCTATATAGACCAGGTTGGCCTTGAACTCACAGAGCTCCATCTGCCTCTGCCTTCCGCGTGCTGGGACTACAGCATGCCTGGCTTTTTTTTTCTTCTTTTTTTAATGACAGGGTCTCCCTCTAGCCTGGAGCTTACCATGGAGACCCAGGCTGGCCCTGATCTCACAGAGATCTGCTTGCTTCTGCCTCTCAAGTGTTGGAGTGTGATGGAGTAGTGCATGAGATGATATGGAAGCAGATCTGTAGTTGAACCTTACTGCAGAATGTGACTGGCACCACCAATTCCGTAGTTCCATTATGTGGGGGATGAGACAATGTTTGTAGGCATACCTATCATGGAGCTGGAGAGATGGCTCAGTGGTTAAGAGCACTGGCTGCTCTTACAGAGGACCTGGGTTTGAGTCCCACTACCCACATGGCAGCTAACAACCATCCTAACTCCAGTTCCAGGGGATCCGACACCCTCTTCTGACCTCTGTGGACACTGTACAACATGGGTGCACTTACACACATGCAGACAATACACTCATACACATAAAGTAAAAATAATAAAAATATTTTTAAAATACCTATCATATAGTAAGCATCAGCACAGACTGGCTTCCCTCCTAGAAGAGAAATTATAGGACAAACCAGGCTGTCAAGGGCACTCTGGAGTCTTTAGGAGAGAGATGCCACCAAGACAGTCTACTTTCCTATTAACTGTTTATTAGGGTAGATTGCTGGATTACTCTCAGTGGACTGAACAGTCCTCATGGCAGAGGGCCATGTCTGGTCTCTGTGTAACCGCAGGCTTAGCATGCTGCTGCCATAACCATCACTTTGACAGCCTTGAACACTGGCTACAGGGGCCACGGCAACTGCTCTATGCAAGCACAGAGGTGGGGCTTCTATCAGCCTTCCAAGTAGCTGGGATTACAAGGGTACACCATAACATGTAGAAAACGCTTATTTTAAAAAAAATGTGTAGCCAAACGCCGGGCATGGGGCACACTTTTGACCTGGCAGAGGTAGGCGGACCTCTGAAAAAAAGTGTAAACAATTGTTCCACACCGGTTTTTGAAGTTACTCTTTTCCTACAGAATTTCCAACTTTGTCAAAACTCAGACACTCATGCAGGGTCTGTGCTCATGCCCTGTTCTGCTCCACTGACCCACTTCTGTCTAACCCACCCTGTATCCTTCCTCACCTGCTCACTCTGGTAGAAGCCAACTGTGCTGTGAACCAACTCATAAAGATAAACGCAGAGCAGGAGATGGAGGTCTCCAGCTAGGAGCCAGTAAGGAACGGAGTCCTTTAGTCTAACAGCCTGTGGGATGGAATCCCAACCACCACTCAGTAGACTGAGAAGCTTGACTCTGCCCCAATAGATCCTTGATTGCAACTATGAAACATCCCGTGTCACAGGGCCTCAGTGTAACCAAGTTCATCTGAAAACCAGGGGGAGATTTCAGAGAACAGAAGTTCTGCGTGAATCTGCCACTGGAGGTTGCAAAGACAGCAGAGATCGTGTGGAAAAACGGAGAAACGAGTTTTATGCAAACAACCTATTTCTCTTAGGTTAATAGCTACTTTCTAGAATGTTTGCTTGATTTTGAAAAATTTATTATTTATTTTTATTTTTTTATTTTTGTCTTTTTGAGACAGGGTCTCCCTGTAGCCCCAGCTGTCCTGGAACTATGTAGACCAGGCTGGCCTTGAACTCACAGAGATCCACCTGCCTCTGCCTCCTGAGCGTTGGGATTAAAGACCATGCCCAGCTATTATTTTTATTTTATGAGTGTATAGCCTGGATGTATGTAAATGCACCTATGTTGTACAATGCCCACAGAGCTCAGAAGAGGGCACTGGATTCCCTGGAACTGGAGTTATGGACAGTTGATAGCCACCATGTGGGTGCTGGGAATCGAGCCCAGATCCTCCACAAGAGCAGCCAGTGCTCTTATCCACTGAGCTACCTCTCCAGCCTCCGATTTTGAAAAATGTATTACAGTATTTTTTGAGTTGGGTGTGGTAGCCAGTGCCATTAGTACCAGCACTTGGGAGGCAGAGGCAGACATATCTCTTGAGTTTGAGGCCACCCTGGTCTACATAGCAAGTACCAGTTCAGCCAGGGCTACATAGTGAGACCCTGTCTCAAAAAGAAAAGGTAGTTTTTTGAGTGGTGGCCAACTACATTGTTGCTTTAAACTGTTAAATTTCAGGATATTATGACATGGGCATAGATGATAATCTTAGGTGGATGGTGTGAAAAGAACACGCATTCAGCAGAAACTGAACTTTGAATTTCAGTCTCTTTCTGGGCTAGTCCTATGCTGCAGGCTACTCTCCTGCAATGGTGGGCTCCCATTGGCTACACAACCAAGAGGGTAAACAGATGAATCACTGCAGTGTTGCCAGAAGTTTCTAAGTATTTAATAAAGTAAATGAGCTATTAAAAACTGTATTTTACAGTAGATTTTGCCCACTGTAGTCTAATTTAAGTGTTCTGATATTTACTGCAGGCTAGACTAAGTCATAGAGTTTGTAAGGTAGGATGTATTAAATGCATTAAAATTTTTATTTAATATTACTGTGTGTAGAAGTCAGAGGACAGCTTTACAGCAGATGGCTGAATTTGTGTGTTTGTGTGGCAAGTGTCTTTACTAAGCTGTCTCATATGTCTTTTTTTTTTTGAGACAGGGTCTCCCTGTAACCCCAGCTGGCCTGGAACTCACT